ATAACATACAGTGTCCAGACTCTTTGTGTCTTTTCCATCTTTTCATGACTTTATTTTAAACTGTATTTTTTCTTTTCTTTTTAATTTTTGGGTTTTTGAGACAGGGGTTTTTCTGTGTATCTCTGGCTGCACTGGAAATCACTCTGTAGACCAGGCTGTCTTTGAACTCACAGAGATCTGCCTGCCTCTGCCTCACAAGTGCTGGGATTAAAGGTGTGTGTCGCTATGCCCAACTTCTCTCTCTCTTTTTCTCTCTCTCTCTCCCTCTCTCTCTGTCTCTGTCGCTTCTCTCTCTCACCCCCCCCCCCCTTTTAAGGACTTCATCCTTTTTCTTTTCTCTCCCAAGCCTACATATATTTTTAAACAAATTGTAAACCATTTAGAAGTTTTCTTCATCTTTTAATCTATCTTTACTGTATATCTCTTTTTCTGACCACACGAGTCTTTAATTTGTTAAGTGATATGGCTAGGATTAAAGCCGTGGTTTTGATAGCTAGATCCACCCCATTCTTAGCTTTCTGAGAGTCTAGCCTCATGGTGGAGGTACTGGACAGAGACATGTTTACTGTCAACAGATGCTGGAGATCCAATCTCAAACTCTCATGCCTGTGCGGAAGTGCTTCATTAACCAAGCTGTCTCCCTGACCACAGGTTGCATATTCATTAGATTATCTACTGGTTTCAGTGAGAAAATGAGATTTGATAAATAAAACTTGCCTTGCAGAAGTATTGCATATGCTAAAGGGTGAATATCCCCTCATCTCCTCTTTTAATCTCTCTACTTGTGTTTTGAGGATCTTTGATTAATACTCAGTCTAATGATGGTCCTGATCATTTGGATATTGCCTCCAGCCTATTAATTCCAGGAGACCACAAAGGTTTCTGTTACTCAACATGCACCTGGAATGTAGTATTACTAGGTGTTCAATAAATATTTGTCATCTGAATCATCAAGCATATGGTTTGCCTATAACTGTAATGTTACAAACAACACCAAAAGGCAGTTATTGAAAAGTGTAAGTTGGATGAGATGCCTCTGTTGTTTTGATCATATCAGTTATCTACTAATTTATGCTGAGTCGAGGAAAAAGTAATTTATACAAATGCCCGTAATAATTAGTGTTAATTGTCTGTTTGACAAAACCTAATATCACCTGGGAGATGGGGTTCTGAGCAAACCTTTAGGGGAGTCTCTTAAGTCTATTGATGTGGGAAGGCTCATCTTCATTGTGGATGGCACCATTTCATGGGTTGGATCCTGGGCCTTTATACTGCAGCCTTGGTGTGATGAGCTACTTCAAGATGCTACTGCTGGTGGTGGACTGTACATTGAACTTGAAGCTAAATATACCCACCTTCCCTTCCTTTCCCCTCTCTCCCTCCTTCCCTCCCTCCCTTCTTCCCTTTCTCCCTCCTTCTCTCTCTCCCTCTCTCCTGCCCTCCCTTCCTTCCATTACTTTCATTCTGGTATTTTTATTACAGCAGCAGAGAAGAAACCAAAACAAGGCTTATGACTTGAGAGACACTGTCACCCTTGTCATATCTGTTCTTCACACCTTCCCTGTGAAGAAGAGAAGGCAGACAATTGTTCCCGAGCCTGGTGCTGGCCAGTGTGTCTTCACCCAGGAACAGTGTCACCCCGAATAACACAAGAGCTTGAGGAATAAGTTCAGATTCACACTTCTCATTATCACCCTTTCCTCTTTCTTCTGATGGAGTCAAAAAATCACAGCCACACTTTCCAGGCCTCTGCTAGTGAACCTGGCAGCTGGCTCTTTAGCCAGGCTCTCCAGGGACCCTGGGTCCTTTTGCAATGATGCCCAAGGCCTGTGGCCCTAAGGCAGCCCTCGGCAAGTATGTCCTTGAGCTCTGCCAGGAGGAACCAGACTGTCATTGCCAGTATCAGGGTCTTTTCTGTGGAGCTCCAAGCTGAACTGGCAACTCTTTATTCGTAGCAATCCAGCCCTGCTAATTCTAAGGCGCAGACTCTCACAGGAGCCTGAACCCAGATGGCCCTTTGATATTGGTGATTCCAGTACCAGGAAGGGTGCATCTTAACAGACTCCTTTTCAATCTTCTTCTTTGATTACAGCTATGCAAATCAAGGCTTCTCTGAGGTCAGAATAGGTCCCTGGTCACCTAAGTCAGCTCAACCTCCTTCCTCCATATCCACATACCCCTAAGGGTCACCCAGAAGCAGTTATAAATACAGATTCTAGACCTCACCCCCACAGGTCCTGATTCAACTTATGCCTGGAGACCAGTGTCTTCAGGGATTTCTACCACAATCCTATGAGATTTTTGAGGGCATTTTGTCACTGGTTCAAATTCAAGGAAGCTCTGTCCTGCAGGGTAAGAGCAACACCGCAGGTTCCAAGCTGGATTTTGTATTTGTGTTTGTTTTTTTTTTCTCCAAAGATCAATGTCAAAGGAATTCCCACTGGGTATGATTATACCCATCGTGGGGTGCACAGGAACAATTATTCTCAGAGCTAAATTTAACTAGGATGGGGGGGGGGACTGTAAACTGTCAAATGGGCTCCAGGTGCACTGTCATGTTCTTGCATGCAAATCACAGGCCTGGGAGGGCTGCCAGGAGAAGGGTAGAGTAGGGGGAGTACCACAGCAGACAGGAAGCCTGCTGGAGACACAGAAGCCCAAAAAGCAGTGACTCCTGCCTCCAGCTTGGCTCTGGCCCGCTAGAGTCTGCTGATTTATCTAAGATGGAGGCATACGCCCCTGGGGTTGCAGGGTACAGGTAATTGTTTTGTACCATAGTATCAGAGGTGTGGGGAGGCAGCTCTGCTCACAACTGGAGACTCCACTGGGTGACCTTGAACTGTTGATCTTGAATTGGAAGGTGGCAGTAAGACTGGAAGGGAAGCTTGAAGTGCTATCCTTGTCCAGGGGTCAAAAAGATTTTAATTGTTTTTAAACTCCGGAGGAGTTTTAAAATGGACTCCCCATTTATTCCCCCATCTCTGGTTAGCTTTTGAAGTTTGCAACTTCTTACATATCTTTAAAAAGTGAAAAGGGGCTTAGAAACCGAGGGAGCCAGGTTTGGTAGCATACACCTTTCATCCCAGTGCTCAGATGACAAAGGCAGGCAGAGCTCTGAGTTCAAAGCCAGCCTGGTCTACTGAGAGTGCTGCTTACTGACTTGCTCCCCATGCTTGCTCAGTCTGTTTTCTTACTGCACCCAGGAACACCAGCACAGGGGTTGCACCTCCCACAGTCGGCTAGGTACTCCTCTACCAATCATCAGTTAAGAAAATGGGTACTACAGACTTGCCTATAGGCCCATCTTTTTTAATTTAAATAACATTATTTTTTTCATTTATTTTACACACTGACCTCATATTCCTCTCCCTCCTCTCCTTCTGTTCCCTCCCCCCTTCCCATCCACCCCTCCTCCTCCATCTCCATTCAGAAAGGGGCAGACCTTCCACAACCTTGAAACAAGTTGAGGCAGGACCTAGCCCCTCCCTTACTTCATGGCTGGGTGAGGGAATCCAGCATAGGGAACAGGTCCACCCTATAGGCCCACCTTAGGGAGGCATTTTTCCAATGGAGAATCCTTTTCCCAATTGACTCAGCTTGTGTCATCAACATGTTATGTGCAGAGTCCCAGGTCCTGCTGGAGGAGAATGCTCAGTGATTTAAACGAATGAATATTAAACATGCGATAAAGGAACCGCAAATCCTGCTCTTGTTCTCTTACATCATGGGAAAGGCAAAGCCCAGGCTTCCGTGGACCTAGGCCCGCCCCTTGTAAATGCCTCCTTGAGATGACAGCCGGCCAGCTGTGACTCTGTTCACGCTCCCTACCTGGCCTCCATCAGAATCACTGCGGTGTATGGACTACTGTGGATTCCGCCATCAGAACCCAGGCCTGGGGAACCTGTGTTCACAGTGTTCTAGGTGGTCCCCAGATAAGCTGGGGTTTGAGATCTGCCTTGAATGTTGAGCACTCTCGTGAGGCCTTCTGGCTTCCAAGGCTACAGTTTTTTCCATTATCTCAGGGTCTCTGCGGTTCTGTACACAAGTTCATTTTAGACACATAAGAAATGGGGCATGGCTCTGTAGTGTGCTGGGCTGTGGTCAGCCTTCCGCAGTACTCAACACACGTCCGTGAAAACAGCAAGAGCAGAGGGGTTCTCCTCCTTGCTCTTAATCTGGTTAGACCGGTGCCAAAAAGCACAGTGCCTTATTCTGCACATGGCAGTGATTTCCATAGGACATGGGGAACTGCTAACTAGGAAGCGTGGAGTTCCTTGATGATTTAAAATGCGGATGAAAGCTCCTCAAAGAGTAGCCTTGAGCTACGGCTATACTCTACCTGCTGGAATACATCCATCTTGGTGCACCCCATCCTGGGGAGAAAAACCAACTAGTTGGCTAGTCTGGGAAACTGAATTTGAACATCCGATTTCCCTTGTCTTGTTCTCTGAGCTTGGGTTTCTGTGAGGCCAAGCAAACAGAAAGGAACTGAATTAGCCTTAACGGGCCAAGATGGAAGACTGTGAGAGAAGAAACTAGGGAGGCGGCACCTTGTTACATTTCCTGGACCATCACCAGAGTGCTGAGCCACGGACTATCACTTCCTCAACTCCAACTCTCAGCCACGTTGATCGTTTTGCCTCCCTTCCTTACTGAGGCTGTGAGATTTTGTTTTGGGGTTCTAGGGTTAGGCAGAAGCAACTCTCAAAGTCAGAGGGTCTCAATGGATAGAGCACAAAGTAAACTAAGACCACCAGCCAGCTGAGTGAGTCCTCCCTTCCCCTACGTGGGCTCACGTATCTAGAACATTACTTCCCCACAAACATAACCTAGGTTTCCATCTCTTCAGAACGCTCAGATTTGGTATCAAGGGAGCCCTGAAGGCTTTACTGAGAAATCTAAGTGCTCCTTCCCCAGAATCCCCATGACCCATGAGAGTTTACCAACTGTATTCCTATGAATTCCTGGAATAATTAAAAATTTCTCTACCTATTTTCTAGGGGATGTTGGCATCACAAAACACAAAAATGATATCGCCTATCATTTCCCAGCTGATTGATGAGAGGAAATCAATGGAAAACGGAGCCCTGCTGCCTCTGCCACAAGCCATCGTTCAAGCTCAACTGTGTCCCCCAAAGCCAGCTTCGGCCAGGCACAGCGGAGTGAACACGTACAGGTCATTTGCTCCAGACAGTCTGGGAATTCTGACTCCATCCGATGAGCAAGGACTAGAGACAGAACCACTGTCCACAGGGGACGATCTGGGCAGAGGCCCCCAGAGGGGGTTCTCATCTATCACCATCACTGCGCGACGTGTGGGCCCTCCTGCCAACTCCCTGGTGTGGGACACTGTTAGGGACTCACTATGTCCCAATTGCAGGGCCAAGGATGCTTTGCTCCAAGACCCTCCAGCTCTGGCCAGTGGTACCCATCTATGTCAGCACAGCGGATCCTTCACCTGTACAGAGTTCCCCAGCAGGGGCTCCATAGAGGGGATGAAGGTACCCCAGGCTCATACGAGGCTGTGTGCGAGGCAGGAGTACTGGATCTCCCAAATGGGTGACAAAGAGGACAGTTTTTCTTCAGACAGTTCACCATCAAGAAAAGTGCCACTGGTGTTCAGTTCATGTGTCCACCTCCGGGTGTCTCAGCAATGTCCCAATGCCATTTACTATTTGGACAAATCGCTTTCCGTCCCCCTTGAGCAACCTCAGATTGCTAGCCCCAAAGTCCACAGGTCTGTCTTGTCTCTCAGCCTCCGCTGTAGTTCCCACAGGTTAACAGCAGATGGCGTAGACAGCACAGCTAATGGCGAACCAATCAGCAGAGCCCTGCCGCAGGAGCTCCTGGAGGGAAAGCAGGACCTCCTAGGTCCACAATTGGGCCAGCCACAGGAAGGTCACTGGAAGGAGAGCCCAGCATTGGTGCCAGTACTTTTGGGGAGTGGCACGTGCCCTCGGACTAGCTCCCCTCCCCTGGAAAAAGTCAAATTTGCAGATGGGAGAAGGAACCAGGTCCCAGTAAGAAAGGAGAAAGAGGAGCTTGCAACGTGTACCACTAGCAGCCATGCCGACCAACTCTCCATCCATATTCCCGGCTGGAGTTACCGGGCAGGTGAGTAGATGTCCCCTTGCTGGAGGGAGCCCAATGCCAGTGTTGGGCTAAGAGAGTGCTGTTGATTTCCTTCTGTTCACCCATGTTAGCATTTGGTTGTCTCTGCCTCAAGTCAACAACTCATAAGTTGGTCTGATTGGGAACCTGTTCTCACATAGAGATAGTGAGAGACCTTCACTCAAGTTCCCTGTCCCAGCAAGATAGTGTCAGGCCACACAGGCAACTGGCCACCCGTTGCAAACAGTGGCTCCCATAGCAGCTGGAATAGAGCGTGCTCACGTCACATTCCAGAGCAGGGTGAGTCAAATAAAATGCCACCCCACCCAGATAGTTTTTAAAACTCTTCAGGGGTCCAACACCTGAATGTTGAGGGATTGTCTAGCATTTTAAGGTTTTTCACTTTTCAATCACGTCACTGATAAATGTGTTAGCTTCAACATTTCAAAACTGCGCCTGGGCTCTATAATGGAATGAAGTGTGCGTGTGTTTGTGTGTGCATTTGCATGTGTGCATTTGCATGTGTGCACGCGTGCACACATATGTAATAATTACAGCATGTTTTCTAATGGGAAAGTTGGAATGTTCCTTCCCAAACAGCAGCAAAAGGAATCATGTGTCCTGAGCTGTGTCTGGAGGATCCTGGCTGGAATTTGTTTCTATTTCTGCGATTTCAGGGCCAGACAGACTCTCCCAGGTGGGCTTCCCTGAGACCCCTTGGCTTTCAGGAGAGGAAGTGAGTCTGTCAGAGGGAGGCAAGCGGCACAGATTTCTCTGTCTTTGAGTAAACTTCTATTTCCAGTCCTGTTCTTTCTGTGAGCGTGGCTGCTTTATGAGTCATAGACTTTCCACTTGGGGAAAATATTTCAAAGAAATAATAGTAAAACTGAAAACGCAGCGTATGCGTAATAATTTTATTGTATGAGTTTTTGTCCATTAAGGGTTTATTAATTAATAAAAAATGACCGTGAAACACTTAAAACTATAATGCGTGTGGAAATGTTAAATGATGCAATTAATTTTAACAAGGGTAGATATATTGGCTGCTGAGGGATCTGTAAAGTAAGTTCGATATAGCTTTTGAATTGATTAAATGATTGAGATGCCAGAATCAACAGGCTCGTTGCATGCAGGAAGACACAAACAGCCAATCCGCATTACAGAGATAAACTCCGCATTAGTATTTAAGGCAACCACTCAAGCTGGGCACTTCATCTTCCTTATTGATGACGATTCCAGAAATAGAGAAACTGCACTCTGTGCTGAGCATGACTTGACGCTCTGTCTCACGGTATAGAATAATCACTTGGATTTTTAGAAAATTTCACCAAAGGCTCTTTAAAAAATAACTGGAGCTGGATCACAAAACACCCATCTCGGAGCAGAGTGGCTTTCCTCTGGCTTCGTAAAGAGGCTGGCTGTTCCCGTAAAGGGTTTGCTTAGGTGGGTTAGGGGAGGTTAGTTCTGCCTCCTGTGGGGCTGACATCCATCAGAATAGTAATGTATTGTAGAGACTCACTTACGTTTAGAGCCTGACTCTAAAATGCGGGGCCTCGTCCTATCATTTGAAGAAAGCTACAAAGACTCAGGGAGCCCTGAGCACATTCTCTTATTTTCTAGCACAGTGAATGTGGACAGCAACACCACCGCTCTGAGCTTGTATCATTCACTCAGTAATTAGTGTTGGTGAATGTCTTCAAGCTTAATGCTCTTTCCTATTCTCTATCAGCCCCAGATGGACCTTTCGAAGGGAAGAAGTACTGTGTGAGCGTCAGCAATTTCTACCTGAATATCCAACAACCACAGAAAACATCAAGGATTGAGATGTGCAAAGAAATAATTGCTAACCCTCAGGCCCAAAGGAACGCAGAGACCCATGTGTCTTTTAGAAAGTGGTGTTCCATGAAAAGAGAGGCTAGTTTGGTGTTTGGGCCACGTGTCTCTGTTGAGGATGTATACACACACACACACACACATGCATTTACTTACCTGGTTTGCATATACTCTCACTTATCTCTTTCTACGCTAATTTTCAGTGAGCCACATTTCTTGTTGAGTAATGAGAAAGCCTGTTGCAGAATTCCTGTCTGCCGTTTACGAGCATGAGTGGCAACCCACTAGTTCTAATGATCCCATTCTGTCCTGGTACAGGGCACACCATCATCCCAGGGTGCACTTGCAAGCTCAGCTGCGACCCTCGCAGAGCCTTTTAGCCTAATGCAAGTACTCTCAGACCGTGGCGATGCTCATTAAGACTCAGAGGACCTGTGCATCTTCTTGTCTGTAACTGGAACTGTATCTGAGGCATTCTTGATGGCTTCCTGTGGCTATACACACTATTAACGGGCATCATCCTTCATAGTGTCTGAAGCCAACTCCTTTCATCCAAACCCCTTTCAAGCAAGAGCCCCTCTGAGCTTGCTTTGCTGACATCCAGCTGTCTTTGTCGATGCTGCGTGGGCGAGTCCATAGACAAAATCAAGACAGTTTTGGCTGTAGTCATTAGGTCACTGGATAGAAAGTTCTACAGATGTTATTCTTGGGTAAGCCTTGAAGAGATGCATGCCCTCCGGAAGACTCCTGAAATGAGGAGAGATGAGTTACATGCAGCCACGTCATGTAAAACAGAAGATAGTCCTGTCTGCCTGGGACAAAACATCCCCGCAGACACATGGGCGCCTGCTTCTCCTCAGGAGTGAGGTTAAGAATCAGTTTTCTTTTTGCATACAATGTTGGTCCTTGGTGCTTTGTCTTCACTGTTAGTGAGCATCCTGCTGGCACCATCGAGGTAAAAACCATACAAATCTCTGCCCCTGTAGCGAGGAAAACTTTCACCACGGTTACCACCCTTGAACTCATTATCAGCATCATGAATAATCATGGTGTGTGCTATAAAAATCCACAGTACCAGACCTTGGTTTATAGCCACTGTTTTAAATCATCTAGACAGTTCTGTAGGGAACGTATCAGTGAAGCTTCTTTTATAGACAAGACAAATAAGGCTTGAAAATTAAACGACTTACCCAAGTCTGTGTATCCGTTCAGTGCCAAAGCTGCGTCCATGGCTCCTATTGTGTCCTTGCCAGCAACAATCCTCAGCACAGTAGTCAGGCATTGGTGGGGCCCAGTAGTGGGCCCGTCTCTACTGTCACTATAGAAGATGGTATTTGAAGACTGCTTAAGAACATATCTTGGGGAGGTGGCCAGTGGGCTACAAATGGGTTTCTGTGTTATTGATTTGACTAAAGCTCATCAGTTCAGAGATCTCTCTCTATATCTGAAATCTGGATCTTGGTGCCACTCTGTGGGATTTCATATTGATCCAAATGGTTCTGACATCACTGTGTTTTTACTCCACTATTGATTATGATACACTAAGTATTGCCTAGTTTGTTTTGTCCTGTGGTTCAGCTCTGAAGCTTCCTTCGTTCCTGAGACATCCAAGTAGACAGAGAGCAAGATACACTGTGAGATGATATTGAAGAAAAGACTAAGGAATGTTCTGCCCACACCTGCTTGCCTGAATTCCTGCTTTGTGGCAGGCCTTCTGGACCAGTAGACCCTTGGCAACTGCACATGCTCTAAAAAAGTGGTTCTCAACCTATGGGTCACAACCCCTTGGGGTTACATATTGGACATTTATGTTACAATTCATAACAGTAGCAAAACTACAGTTATGAAGTAGCAGTGGAATACTTTTATGGTTGGGGTCATTGTAACATGAAGAACTGAATTAAAGGGTCACAGCATTAGGAAGGTTAAGAACCACTGCTCTAAAGGCACTAGTCTGCATAGCTGGAAGGAAGATGCTCCTGCCAGGCCACCACATGGATATCAAGTCTGCTTATATTCTGAGGCGTGAGGGATCTATAGTGAGCTAGCTTCATTTTGCTTATGCATCAGGCTTACCTGAGAAGAAGATGGCCTCCTGGATCCAGGGGAACTTATTTCTAGAGGGCTCAGAAGGCTTGGGAAGAAACTCTATTTTAAAAATGTATTTCCTCCCTTTGATGAGCTAGACTTACATGAAGCAAACTATAGTTCTTTTTTCTTTTCTTCCCCCTTCTCTTCTTTCCCCTTCATTCCCCCTCCCTTCTTTTTTCTCCTTTCTCCCCCTGTTTCTTTCCCTCTCCTCTTTTTACCTCCTTTCCCTCTCTTTCCTTTTCCTCTCTTCTCTGATGTGGGATTCCACTCTGTATGCTATGAATACCATTGGTTAATAAAGAAACTGTCTTGGACCTGTGCAGAGCAGAATAGAGGTAGGTGGGGGAAAACTAAACTGAATGCTGAGAGAAAGAAGGCAGAGTAAGGAGCCACCACCATGGACAGACACGCAGAACCTTGCTGGTAAGCCATAGCCATGTGGTGATACACAGATGAATAGAAATGGGTTAATTCAAGATGTAAAAATTATGTATAAATATGCAAAAGCTAATAGGCCAAGCAGTGATTTTATTAATATAGTTTCTGAGTGATTATTTCGGGAGTCTGGGCTGCCAGGAAATGGATGAGTGACCTCCTACTACACTTCTCCTCCTCTCCTTCTCACTATTCCTCTCACCCTTCTCCTCCTCTTATAAAGGAAAGTGTATTCATCTTCACAGACCCTCTGATATGTATGGCATTTACTCAACTTTGCTGTTCTGGTGGGAAAGCACTGTGATGCATTGACTGACTTGGCTGTTGCCAATAAAACTTTATTTACAAAAGGCAAATGGTAAGCTAGACAGAGTCTGCCTGTAATTTGCTGATTTCTGGTCTAGAACTTCTTGCCAGTATTATATCCTATGTTTTTAGAACTCAGACTCTGAAGATAATAAGATCAATGGTAAGTCTATATCCTAGGAAGTGCTTGTGAGAATGACCTGAATTGAAGGAAGAGGGAGAAGGCATGAATGGTTAAGGAAGACACTCTCTAGACAGACAAAACAAGGCCATAGCAACCTCAGGGGTGGGAATGGTTCTTCAGTGTTGCTCTGAGCTCCAGCAAGAGGGCTGGGACT